TGGTGTTTTTTTGTTTTTTTTCAAGAGGCAACTGGACTTTCTGGTTTTAATTTAAAGACGTTTCCCTTCTCATACAAGAAGCTTCTACAGTTCTGACTGGAGGGTGGGGAATGGAAGGATTCCTTGCAAACAGTTGGTAATTTGCATCCTTTTTAGAGAGTCATTGAGGCCACCTGGAGGTTTGTCTGTGTCCTCAGAATAGTGCAAATGGGTGTGGAGCCTTCTTGCAAATGACCAGCTGTCTGCAAGGAGTATAAATCCTTCCATTCCCCCACCGTTGAGTCAGAGCTGAAGAAGCTTCTTGGATGAGAAGCAAAACATCTTCAAAGAAAAACCAGAAAGTCCAGTTGCCTCTTGAAAAAAGCACCTTTGTGACAACCACGACCTGGATGACTGAGAGTCTCCATATAATTCTACAAAGATGTTCAGAGATTCTGAAGCTGAAACTCAAATACAGCTAGTCCTCGACTTATGACCCCAATTGAGCCCCAGATTTCTGTTGCTATGTGAGACTTTAGTTCAATGAATTTTGCCCTTTTACGACCTTTCTTGCCACAATTTGTGAAGTGAATCATTGCAGTTGTTAGGTTAGTAATACACTGCACTCGTCATAAATATGAGTCAGCTGCCAAGTGTCTGAATTCTGATCGTGTGATCATGGGGATGTTGCAGTGGTCGTGTGAAAAACTATTGTAAGTCACTTTTACATTGTGGCTGTAACTTGGAGCAGTCATTATACGAACTGTTGTAAGTTGAGGCCTTCCTGTATGTCTCTTGCAGAGTTTCCTTAATATTTCTGGTACAAAAATTTGCTGCTTTGGCTTTCCTCTTGTTCTCTTTCAGTTACTAATTGATAAGAATAAGCTACCTTCTTCTCCTGTAGGTTGTAATTTATGTCTGTCTGGTACAAACCTTGATGATGTGATATATCATGACATCATTGCATAAATTAGCATAAATTATACTGTTTGTTTTCCTAAAGTTAAGACACGTACGAAATCTCCTTTCGGGTGCCTATAGCTCAGTGATGGCTAACCTTTTTGGGCTCCTGTGCCAAAAATTGTGCACACGCTTGCACTTGCATGCCAGCACCCAGAAGGCAATGCATGTGCCCCCTCACGCCCCCTATGCATGCGTGCGCAATCCTCACCCACCCACCCAACCCCACTGCCCCCTTACCTCCACTGCTCCTCACAGCTGATTTTGGGCCAATTTGAGGCCTTTTTCAGCCTCCCAGAGGCTTGAGGAAGGCTTCTGCAGGCTTCTGCAGGCCGAAAACTAACCCCGTTTCGTCACTTCCGGTATTTTCGGAAAAACAGGAAGTGATGAAACGAGGCTAGTTTTCGGCCTGCAAAGCCTGCAGAAGCCTTCCTCAAGCCTCTGGGAGGCCGAAAAAGGCCTCAAATCGGCCACATGCGCAGTGAGGTAAGTTTGCCTGCAGCTCACATGCCAGCACAAACAGCTCTGCATGCCATCTGTGGCACACGTGCCATAGGTTTGCCATCATGGCTATAGCTGATATAATTCCAGTGGGCTGAGCTCCTATTCTCTTAGATTTAGTAATTTTTTTTTTAAAGCTTAGTTTACCTTTTAGTCATTGCACCTTGTACAACGAAATCAAATGCTATCTTCAGTGTAGATTATAACTATAAAAATAAAACACAAACACAAACACACATCAGTTCTGTGGTTCTCCTTTCCCTCTATGTTAACTGTGTGTTTTTAGTACAGTTTGGATACTTGTTGTAAGTTAACACCTCAAGCCCTTAGCATCTGTGGTCCTTCAGAATAAGGAACAGGCAGCAGAAACACTGTGAGTCTCATTAATTCCGCGCTAGGTAAAAAGATATTCAGCACTATTGACAGAGGGGATTACAAGCCATCAAGTTTATCCTGAACCTTGGAAGTGGAGAAGATTAAGAGGAAGGCAACGGTGTTCTTCAACCACTCGGAAGGCAACCCTGCAAAAGGGGAACACTCTGTTTATCTTTGCTTTGAGTAATCTTGCAGCCTAGATATTTTAAACTACAACCTCATTGAAACTTCAAGCTGCCTGTTCAATCCAAGGACAATAGAAGCTGCTCTTTTGTAACTCTGGTTATTGTCTCGGTAGCTGGCAGATTTGGAGTTTTTAAAGAAAGAAAGAAACCTGGAGAAATGAAGAATTGTTCGACAACGCAAGAGTTTGGAAGTGCCAAGTTCTCCTTTGCTGGAGACCCTGATATGGAAGTTGATGGGGTTGGACCAGTGGTGGGATTAATTTTTTTTTTACTACTGTTTCTGTGGGCGTGGCTCAGGTGTGTCGTGGCTTGGTGGGCATGGCAGGGGAAGATTACTGCAAAATCCCCATTCCCTCCCCACCTCACTAACCTGCTTTCCAGCTCTGTTCTCCTGTGCAGGGCAACCAAAGAAGACCCAGCCAATCAGCTGGGACTCGGGAGGCGGAGAATAGAGGGGGGCGGGGCTAGTCAGAGGTGGGATTGGCCGGTTCTCCAAACTACTCAAAATTTCCGCTACTGGTTCTCCAGAACTGATCAGAACCGGCTGAATCCCACTTCTGGGTTGGACTCTAGTCCTCGACTTACTACCACCATTGAGTCCAACATTTATGTTGCTAAGTGAGAAATGTGTTAAGCGAGCTCTGCCCTATTTTACAACTTTTCTTGTCACGGCTGTTAAATGAATCTGGCTTCCCCATTGACTCTGCTTGTCAGATGGTGGCAAAAGGGGATCAACCTACAACCTGTCATAAATGTGAGTCAGTTGTCAAGCGTCAGGATATAAAATAAATACACAAATACATGCCATTTGCCAAGCTTTCAAATTTTTGATCACATTACCATGGGATGCTGCAACGGTCGTTAAGTGTGAAAACGGTCATAAGTCCCTTTTTTCAGTGCCGTTGTAACTTTGAACGGTCACTAAATGAACTGTTATAAGTTGAGGACTACAGGTAGCATAGGCTCCCTTCCAACCCTGTTCTATGTTCCAAAATTCAAAGGACCATTGGCTCTTCCATTTCTGATCAGCGGGTTGGGTTAGATGACCTCAAAGATCCCTAAAAATCGCCAAACCCCTTTTGAATTTCCCGCCTGAAGCTGAACGAAGGGCTTGTGGTTCAGATTGCCAAGTTTGCCTTGGGGGGAAAAAGGGGGGGCTTTAGGTGAGCTTCCTTCGCTTGCCAATTTCTGGAGGGTTGCACTCTAACTATAAAAAGGTATTGCTGTCAGACGCAAAGCGGAGCCATCGGAAACGCTGCCCGGTTTTGTTAATATTTTCTCCTCGTTTTTACACTTGCTGAGCGAAGGCCCCTCAATTGCAAGTGAGAACAAGCGACCAGGATAATAGAGGATGGACAAGGGAGGTAGCCCAATTGGTGAGATTGATGAATATTCAGAAGAAGAAAAAAATCTTGCTCAATTTGTTAAACCAGGAGGCAGAGAAAGGAATGGGGACTAGAAAAACCAGGTCCAAGAATTATAGATTAGTGTCTTGTTTATTTGTAATTCCTGTTGACTGTTTATTTGCACATCCCAAATATCATATTTGCTAAGTATTTATTTAGTAAATATTTACTAGGACTGTATTACTATTCTTCTCATCCTTTCTATTACCTATCTCCTTCTATTGATGGCTATAACCTTGTTGCTTGTAACTTTACGATTTATATTGTTTTATTTATTTCCTAGTATGATTTTATTCGCTTATTTAGTATCCTATCTATCACTAAGTGTTGCATCTTGCGATTCTTGATGAATGTATTTTGTATGTATCTTTATGTATCTTATGATTCTTGATGAATGTTTTTATGTACACTGAGAGTTTATGAACCGAAGACAAATTCCTTGTGTGTCCAATCACATTTGGCCAATAAAGAATTCTTATTATCAATGTTTTCCCAGGCCAAAAAAAAAAAAAAAAAAATCGAAGTGGCTGCCGAACAGCCGTAAATATAATTTTTAAATACTGTTTAACTTTAATATTGAAAATGCTAAGACTGCTCAAAAAATGTAGCAATTTAATATGCACATGAAGATGTGCAATACTAAAAACAGAAATAAGACTTTATTTTGTATAGGAGGGATGCTTCCTGCAAACATTATGAGTGGCTCTGTGTATATATGTATATGTGGGAGTGCCATCACTTGAAACTTTCAAGAAGAGATTGGACTCCCATCTGTCAGAAATGGGGTAGGACAGGGGTCTTCCAACTTGACAGCTTTAAGACTTGTGGACTCCAACTCCCAGAATTCCTCCTCCAGTCATGTTAGCTCAGGAATTCTGGGAGTTGAAGTCCACAAGTCTTAAACTTGCCAAGTTGGAAGACCCTTGATATAGGGTCTCCTGCTTGGACAGGGGGTTGGACTAGATGACCTACAAGATCCCTTCCAACTCTGAGTATCTGTTATCTCTCTCTCTCTCTGTATGTGTGTGTATGTATATGTATGTATGTTTATATGTTGCAATTTGTGCCATTTTTAAAGTTTTTTCTTCCTCTGGGCATCCTGCTGCTGGTTTTGGCAGACCCAATAAACCAAGGTGTTTTTTTTTTCGCAAGGGCGAACTCCGACCCTAACCAAGCCTCTTCCTTCCCTCCCTCCCGCTCTCCAGCTCAGCCGTGCCCGAGTGCGCCTGCGCGCCAGGGGTGGGGGGGGGGGGGGGGGGGGAGGAAGCGACGGGGACAGCAGCCTTCGGGAAGAGCAAGCGCCCGCGAGGCGGGTGCGCGCGCAGCCGCCGGAGAGCTTTTCCTCGTGCGCCCCCTCCCGCCTCGGCCGCGCTTCGGGGAGAGAGAGAGAGAAAAGAGAGAGAGAGCGCGCCTCGTTCGGTCGGTCTCCTTTTTTGTTTGTTTGTTTGTTTGTTTTTTCCTCTTTTCTCCTTTTTCGCAATCGGCCGGTTGGTTCGCTGCGCCCGCGCGCACCCCCAACGCTTGAGGAGCCACGCCGGCCGGCCCGCCCGCCCCCCCCCCCCCCCCCCCCCCCCCCCCCCTTTTTTTTTTGTTTGTGTGTTTGCTGCCTCCCTCCCGCGCCTCCTTTTCTCCTCCTCCTCCTCCTCCTCCTCCTCCTGTTCGTCGCCCTCAACGACGCCCGCTCGATCCTCGCGGACTCTCCGGGTGCGAGCCAGGCCGCGGCTCAGCCCAGCCCAGCCCAGCCCAGCGCCCACAGGTGAGGAAGGAAGCCGGGGCCGCCGCGCCGGCTTCCTCGAGACCCGACCGGGGCCTGGCCTCGATTGCGGCGTTCCCCTCAACGCCGTGGCCTAGCGGCGCGGGCGGGCCTGTTCTGAGGGGGGTGGGGGGGGGAAACAACGCCAGCCGGGCCTGGCCAAGCGGAGGCGCCCGGGCCGCTACCTGGGCCTCTCTCTCTCTCTTTCTCTCGGCGGATGGGCCTTTGCCTCAGGGGAGCCCGGAGCGGGCGGGAGGAGGAGGAGGAGGGACCAGGCCGCCGAACAAAAGGAGCCGCTCCGGTGGCGGGGGTGGGGCGGGTAAGAAGGCGGCTGAGGCGAGGCTGAGACACGGGCTCGCTCGAGGGGGGGAAGGGTCGGAAGTCCCTCAGTCCATCAGAATAGAGCTGGAAGGGACCTTGGAGGTCTTCTAGTCCACCCTCAGGAGAAACCTATACAGCCCCCCCCCACAAATATCCTCCCCCGTTTTTAATGGTTACGCGCCTTGGAAACCGGCCGGCCTTTTTTTTTTTTTTTTGTGAGGCGGAGAAGCGGAAGCTCAAATGTGTTGACTGTGTGGGCATAGAGGCACTTTTCTCTTCCAGCTGATCTCCAGAAGGGAAGGGGTTGGACTAGAAGACCTCCAAGGACCCTCCCGAGTCCTCTGTTACTTTACCTACAGTACCTTCTGCATCTTTACTATCTGTACTGTCTGTCTATAGCATCTATCTACAGTAAATTATCTATCTATCTCCATCCATCCACAGCTTTATCTATCCATCCATCCATCAGCCTGCCTGCCTCTCCCTCCCTCCCTGTTTGTGTATTATCTATCTGTCTATTCATCTATTTTTCTATCTCTCTATTCATCTATCCATCCACCTGCCTGCCTCCCCCCCTCTCTCCATCTCTCTCTCCCCCCCCCTTTGTATATTATCTATCTCTCTATTCATGTTTTTCTATCTCTATTCATCTACCTATCCATCCATCCGCCTGCCCCCCCTCATCTAACTTCTGTCTGTCTGTCTATCATCAACCTTCTATCTTCTGTCTATCTCTTATCTATCTACTTACCTACCTACCTCCATTCATCCTTTTATCTACCTACTCATCCATCCACTATCTCTCTCATTTCTCTTCTCTCCTTTTCTCTTAGTATTGTAGCTGAGAATAACGAAGATGCCCTTTCCTTTCCTTTCCCTTCCTTTCCCTTCCCTTTTCTTTTCTTTTTTCTTTTCTTTTCTTTTCCTTTCTTTGGGAGGTTTTCATCCTTATCCTAAAGAAATGAAATTAGGAATGGGGAGGATGGGGATTAATACAACTTTCCTCCTCTCATTCCTGACTTTAGAAAACCTGCATTTTCAATCCAGGGGTTTCCTCTCTGGACGATTTATGAAGGCAGAGAGAGAGAGAGAGGAAAAGGGCCATGGGAAGCTTCATTGCTTCTCTTTTTCTGGGGCCATTAAAAAAAAAACAGCTGCCCTTTGCTGGATGGCAGTTCTGCATTTGGGCTTCAGGGTAAATCGCACTGGGTGCTTTTGCTTTAGTGGAGTGAGGTCAGAAGCTCAGTTTGACTGGGTAGACTGATTATTTGGAAGTCAATCCCACTGGGTTGAATAGAGTTTTCTCCCACATTAGGGTACTTGGGACTGTAGCTCTGATTATAAGCTTTGGTGGATCTTTGCAAGTTGTTCTCATCCCTAATTGTCTTACCAGAGATCTCCTTTCTCTCTTTCTACCTTAGTTCACTTCTATTCTTGCATGATGCGATGCCTATCCATATGTTGCTGTATGTTGCTTTATGTACGTGTACAAGTGTATTTTGTTTATCTTTGTAGAGAAGAAACAATTCAGGGCTAACATTGCATTGGGAAAAATTTGGCAAGTGCCACAGGTACTGAAACTGAAGGTGGGGAAACCTAGAAAACTTTCCATTTCTTCCCCTCCAAAAACAGGTTTTTAAATGTCAAAGAGAGGGACAGGGGACTTGCGTGTGTAAAATAGAAGTTCAGCTATCCCTTGGGCTGTGCAAGATACTTAAATAATTTGGATCTTGGCCATCACTTTTAAAGTTAGCAGCATCCTTCACTATTGCGGAATCAATGGAATGTATGGGCACATTTTCTATTTTAACTACTGATAGTAGGTATAAGATTGATGAGCAAAGTAACTGTTGTTCAATTCAAAACTTGTGTTTATGCTTTGAAAGATTGAATACATGTTTTTGTTTTATGTTTATAACTGGAAATAATATTTGAATCATATGAAAATGTTTCTTTTGGAACAGATTTATGGAGTGGTTGGTAATAGTGATCACCTGTCTGAGTTTGTTGTGCTCTTATTTTCTAATTTTTATCTGTTTTGTCAGTCTATATTAAAACATATCGATGCTTGTAAAAGTGAAAGTAGTGTTGTCCTAATGGAGTCAAACTATTTTGACAGGTGAAAGATACTGCAGGAGTACTGCAATTTTTCAGGACCAGACTTTTAAGAACAAGCTATTGGATACATACTGCATTGAAATTAATTTTTCATTTTTAAATTTAAAAATCCTGATCAATTGCACCAAACATTGATTTCTGATGTTAATTGTATATAAAGATAGCTCATTTCTTTTTTGGATATAAGTAATAACTTACTGAAAGAAAGAAAAAGACACATTCTAACTCAGTTGAAGACAAGTCCATTCCTCATTGAAACCTGTATTGAATTTGCTTTAACATTAATTCACATAGGATCTTCAGAAATACACACATATAAACTGCAGACCAAATACAAATAACTTTGAGGCTCCTGATTAGTTTGTAAGAAGATAATGAACATCACAGAAAGTTCATTTCAAACTCATAGAGCTTTCCAAGATTCGAGGAAGATAATGCTACACTGAAGCAAAATTGAGTGTACATGACTCTTTTTATAGTTAATGGAAATGCAAACTGCTCCACCACCCAAAAAAACCCGTAGAGTATTAGGTATACTAGAGTATTAGGTATACACTTAGGTATTACATTTGACATCCTACTATTGGATGTAAAGCATCAGCTTGAGGAAAAGTGCCCTAAAATTGGGATGGATGTTGACCACAAGCATTTTGGACTTAAGAAATGGTTACTAGTTCTTCAACCTGAGTCCACACACTACCTATTATGTGATAAGTTTTATTGTGACCAAGCTCTTACATTTTGTAGCCTGCTAGAATAGTTTGTATGTATTTCAAGTCAATTCTATTCTGAAGTATCTTTTTAAGGGAGGATTTCACTAGCGTTGAAATGCATTTATTTATAGCCTACATGGGTAACAAATGTGGCTGAAGCATCATTAGTACTGGATGGCAGACCACCAGGAAATGAACCTGGAAGTCCCTCACAGCTTTTCTATGTGAAATTGAAAGAAAAATGTTAGTGGGTTTGTGTTACAGATGTATGTGAATGGTGCAATATCTATTGTCATGAATGCCTAATAGTTAATTCCAAGTTTCTTATTTAATTTATACATGTGTATCACTTTATACACTAAAGTGTATGCGATATTTGTAGAGAGAGAGGATTCAAGAAAACTCTAACATTACTTTTCAGTCTTTGTAAGTGATGTTTCCCTTTCAATTGAACTAGATTTCTGGTGACTTGTATTGATTTTCTTGATAACAAGAAAGTGACTTGCCTTGTTTTTTCTTCAATGACTTTTCAGATTTTTAATTTAAATTACTGCACTGATATTTTCTAAGTGTCCCATTCACACACTAACCAAACCCTATCTTAGTTAACCATATAAGTGTGTGAATTTGTTTAGTAATAAATAAATTTTAGATAAAGTGCTTAATAATGGTAACATTTTTCCTTTGACAAGAACAAGTAGTTGTCACATTTTGATATGTGAAACCCCCATGGAATTTTCCAACATAGTATTACTACAGGGCACTTTACAGAAGGGTATTTTTTCAGGCAAAACCTCAAAAGCCCTGAAAATGTCTCCATGACCCATCATCACACAAGACTTCCTCAAAACAGGGGATAAAGGCAGGAAATGCGAATGAAGTTTTGGAGCTGGCCTGACACAGAAAAGAATGTAGGTTTAAAAGAGATGAAATTTTTTGGACCCCATTGCCATGCAATGACCTTCCTATTAGGTGGTTTTCTGGAGCCTACTGTGCACATAGTACCTACTGTTACACAGCCTGAAATGGCCTTCCAAACAGAAATGTATTTTCAGTCTATCACCCCATCTCCTAGTCTCACAGTGCTATTTTTAAAGGTTTAGTTGATACCTTTTAACCATTTAAAATTGTTTAATTACCTAAATCCATACACACTATTAATACAGATGCTTATACCTTTAGGTTTAAAGTTATAGGAACCCTAGGAATTTGCAGCTGTTTGCTTCATGCGTCATCAGATAAGTCGTGTTGTATCTGGTGCTATTCCTGGCATTCAGTCCATCAGAGGAACAAACATTTTTTGGAAGGCTGCATACTAAAAGTGACAGGGCCGAGAGAAAAACCAGATTTGTTTTGATCTCACATAGACCAAAGTAAAATTAAATATGGTTACTAGTAATTCTGTAATGTATTTATTAATTTCTTTATGTTACATTAGCATTTAAAAACTTTTGGGGACATCCTTGGAGAGCTACTGGGGCTTTCAAAGGGCAGGGGTCTGCATCTCCTTTTGTCTGCCTGCATTGAACTGCAGAACGTGTTGTTCTCTGCTCTCCTTTATATTAAAGAATCCTGGAATTTAAGTTGATATACTGAGATTTGGCTTGTTTGTCTTCATTTCATGGCCCCAGTAGACATTATTGCTCGCTTCTTTCAGGCTTGCATGTGTGTTTTAAATACACCTCAATATAAACAGCAGTTTTCATGGGAAGTTTCCTTAGCCTGTGTAAAATACCTTGTGTTCCATTCTTGGCATTTCCAGGTATGGCAGGGACTCTTCTGTAGCTGTCAGCCTGTGGGCACATTTTGATATGTGGAACATGGAGAGAACTAGTCGTCTTACTAATCATA